GGAAACGAAAAGAACGACCCCCCACGCACGCCATGGGGGTGTTTATCTTAGTTAAGACACCTTTGTGACGTGTGTGGTGGGTGTGGAAGTCATCAAAGGATTTATGTAACAACATTTCTTTACAAACATGCATACAACCAGTTACTTCTCCTTTAGTACGTGGTGAGACTTCACACTACCTATTTGGTTGTAGACTCTGGGTGTGTGGTGTGTGTGTGGTGTTGTGTGTGTGTGGTAGTGTGTTGTGTGTGTTGTGTGTGTTGGTTGTGGTTAAGAATCAGAATTAAAGTCTTCTTTATTTTTGATTATAAACTTATGCTTAGTAATAAAAATAGTCAAACGAGAGTGGACATCAAGGAGTGGGGGGGGGGGGGGGTTTTTGTGTAGTATCTGTACAAAAATATATGGACTCTAGTCTAGACGACATCGAGAACGTGTGTAATTTCGGAACTTGGAACCTTTATACGGAGTTATTATAATATTAATCCTCTCCGAAAGTCATCAAGAGGTCCTTCACTATTCCACTTCAGGGAGTGAAGGGGGGGAGGAAGGGGGTCCACGACGTCTGGAGCCGTGTCTCTCATGGCCGGGTCGAGTCGGAAGAGTCACACACCGTCCATAGCGGACACGTCTCTAGGGGCACTTGGTCACCGGGCTCGACTAGGGGTCGACCACCGGTTGCACTGCCTGGGGAGGTCGTGCCTCGTGTACTTCCCTCAGGTGCGACCTCCGGTAGCCGATGTAGACGGTCCTGTAGCACATCATGACTGTGGTGTGGTGTAGGGAGACTCCCCCTTGACTGCGACAGCTCGTCACTAAGAGTTTGGAAAGTCTGGAGAATCGGTTATCTTTGTGGAGTGTCCTGGTGGACTGAGGGTTTATGGGTCTTAGTTCGCGAAGACGAGGTGTGAGTTTGCATTGTGTACTGTCGGAAATTCTGCTACTTGGAGAGACATAAGCAAGTGTGTAAGTTGAACTCAAAATAAATAATAAATAAAGTTTACACTTTAACAATGGTTAATATGAGTGCCTGGTGGTCCCCAGGTGCCCTTGGTGTGAAACTCTTTTGTGACGACTACTAATCTACTGCAGTGCACAGCCATAAAACGACTGGAGGGAGACTGGGAATGTCCGGGCAGGTATCTAAGGATATAACAACATTATGTTTGCACACACAGACAGACAACAAGTTACTTCTCTTTAGTACGTGGTGAGATTCAAACACCTATTGTGTTGTAGACTCTGGTTGTGTTGTGTTTGTGTGTGTGGTGTGTGTGTTGTGTGTGGTGGTCGTGTGTGTGTGGTGTGTGTGTGTGTGGTGGTTCAGAATCAAGACTAAGGTTAGTAAAGACTTCTTTATTTTTTGAATTATAAGACTAAAATTGGCAATGAAATTTTGCAAACTAGCGGAAAAAGTATAATTTTTACTTTGATTTTCGTCTTTGAGAAACCTAGACAGTGAGTCGACGTGTCCTCTAACCTTTAATTAGATTTTCAAATCGAGGAGGAGGACCCGAGAGCTGATTGAAAAAAAGTGGTAGGAGGGCCTTGGCAAGGGCTTTTATGTTAGATTCGGCAGGGCTTTAATACACCTGGCAGGACTTAAATTTTAATCAAAAGATGATGAATAGTAATCAATTTTAGTAAGTTTCACCTGGAAATTGTATTTATTTGTAGTGTGTTTAGTAATCTACTATTAAGTATTGGAAAAATAAACTCATTTAGTCAAGTTAGTGTACTGTTTCCGGTTTATATAAATTGTTTGTGTGTTTACTCCTTTTAAATTATAACTTAGTTTAGTTTCAGGGTGGTTAATTGTTTTTTTAGTTGTGAGTCCAGGACTTCTTCTTGGGTCTCATTGGTGCATTGTCCTCCTGTCAGACATTGTAGTCACGTCCTCTCGAAATGTTTGACGGTGGCGGGGGAGCGTGTGGTCTGCCCTCTCTTCTAGAGCCAGACCTAAACCTTTCGAGCTTTTATGTAAAGTAATATGCATAACAACGTATAATCTTTGCCTCAACCTATTTGATTTTGACGCTATATTACAAATACATCGTTATGATTATACTGTATATAAAAAATTTACAGAGGTCATTGGCTATTTTTAAGTCTATTGCAGCCTCGAATTGCAAAGGTGACAGAAATTAATTAAGGCCGGGGCCCGCCTCGGGCAAAAATGACCCCGAGCCATGGGTAGGTATGTACCCCTCTCCGCGTGTATAACTGATTCCTGATTTAATGCTACCTCCTCCCTAAGAGTAGAGTCCGGAATAATGGGTATCCCCTACTCCTCCTCATTCATTTATTTCCTCCGGCCGCGAGGTCCCGACCAAGACGACACGCAAAAACACTACATTGCCATTTGTAAAGTCTTAAGGGGTGCCCCTATGGTAACAGATAAAATGTAGTGAGTTGGGCGCTTTATGTGTGTGAGTCAGTATCGGATGACATCTATTGGGGCGCTTAACGCCCGGGTCCTTAAGCGCCCGGTCGGTCCGACCACGCCGACCGACTGTCGGTACACCGTGTCAATGCACACACCAGACAGACAGACAGACACACACACAAAAAGCGCCCAACGATTTACAAAACACACAAATACAACTTTCCTCCAAATTATTGACACACGATGTGTGTTGAACGTCAGCTAAAGGTAAAAGTAGCGGCAAACATCATCTTCAATCGTACCATAAAAATAAAATTTGGAGCAGGGTTTAAGCAGGGTTTTAATAAAAAATAGGAGGGACTGTGATAAAAAAAGCTGCTGCCCTGTCAGGATAGTTCGAGATCGGGACGAGGGGAGGAGAGAACACCAACGCAAGTCACTGGGACTCGTCCAAAATTACCTCGCAGACACCACGCAAGTCCCTGGGACTGCGTCCCAAAATTACACTCGAGAAACCAAGCAAGTCCTGTGAGTCGTCCAAAATTACACTCGAGAAAACGCACGCAAGTCCTGGGCTCCGTCCAAAATTACACTCGAGACACAACGTCAAGTCCCTGGGCCTGTCCAAAATTAACACTCGAGGACACCTAGCTCAAGTCACTGGGGACTCGTTCTCAAGAATTACACTCGAGACACCACGCAAGTCCCTGGGCTCGTCCAAAATTACACTGAAGACACCACGCAAGTACTGGGCTCGGTTCCATAAATACACTCGAGACACCACGCAAGTCCTGGGCTCGTCCAAAATTACACTCGTGACACCACCAAAGTCCTTGGCTCCGTCCAAAATTACACTACGAGACAACCACGCAGTCCTGGGTCTCGTCGACGTCCTTTGCGGTTGGTCTAGGACTGCCGTAAAGTAGGGTCCCGTACTCTTCCTCCTCGCTCATTGTTGGCACTTCAGACCGGCGGTGGTACCGACGACAGTTGGAGAGACCTCAAGTGGTTCCGGTTGAAGCTGTTCCTCCATGTGTGTGTGTGTGTGTGTGTGTGTGTTGTTGTGTGTGTGTTGTGTGAACTAGAGAGAGATAGAGTGGTGGTGTGGTGTGTGCCCAATTTAATTATTAGAAAAAAGAGTTTCATTACTATTTGGACACTCAACCTACATCTTCTCAGTCTAGTTATATCTACAAAAAATAATAATTTCTTGTTAAGCCTAACTTGCTATTTATAATTTATTTTTTTTTACATATTTAAATAAGCACAGGCCAGGTTTCTAAAGAAAAAATTTGAATATCACCTTTTGATGGGAACTATTTACCCAACATCTCTGAATTTTCGAAATCCTTAGGTTTCATTGTTGTATGTTTATTCATGCGGACACAGTTCTAACTACGTTTTGTTTGCACCTTTAAACTGGAAAAATCTTCCAAATCGTTTTTTTTGTGTAAGACCTTCATTATAACTCCTACCTTTACCGCAAAAATGGCAAAGAGACCTTGGGTACCAGTCTATAACACTTTACTAACTGTAGAGAAAGCCTAGGCAATCTCGGTTATCTTAGTTTCCCTTAAAGGTGTGTGTGTGTACCAATTTCCTTTTTTAGCCACCGAAAACGCTAGGTCCAAAGTACTCTCCTTTCGATAGAGAGCGAGTACTTAGAACCCGTTTACCTTGTGTCGTCTAAATAACGAATACCTATAGTCCTTTAGTAGTTTTCTTTCTGTGTCTGTGTAACCCCTAATTGCAGCCGTTGCAAAAATTAACAAAATTACGGTAACTTCTGGTGAAAACTGTCCCTGATGGTGGTGTCGCACTCGGTACATATCACAAAAATCGATTGGATCGGGGTGTACAAAACTCAAGAAACTCTCTTCTTCCAAGACAGACACATATTTATGATCATTAAATCTACCTGTTCACAAACGAAGGACAAAGTCTGCCTCTCCTGTGAAGTAGTACGTTTCACACCCACGAGCACTCGGTGCGTCACAGGCCTGTTGTCCCACTCATGTGCAGGTTTTGCCAAGTAATGTCTCAATCGTACATTATTTCTGTTGACTACATTATTTCTGACAACACAAGTCACGCACACCGCGTCGACGTCTTGGACCACTTTCGAGTAAAGAGACATAATAGTCATGTACTCTCTGCATGTACCCTGGTCCGAGACAAGCGCCACTCGTGTGTTTGGTGTGGTGTCTGTGTGTGGTGTACTCTTGTGTGGTTTGTTGTGTGTGTGTGTTGTTTGTGTTAGTGTTGTGTGGTGTGTGTGTGTGTTTTCTGGTGGGGACTGCGTTCGTGAGTGCGCGTGTGTGTGTGGGACTGTGTGTGTGTGGGACCTGTGTAGTGTGGAGGGACTACCTTGGACACAATGTCGTAAGACTACTGAGGGTATGTAACTTATTTGGACAATAATTTACGGACGGTCCACACTAGTGGGACCCGAGTCTATGCTTTCGACACTTTAACCAGTTACTTGACTATTGTACGGTTGTGCGACTCGACACTACATATTTGTGTTGGTGTAATAGACTCGACTAGTGGTTGTGTGTTTTTGTGTGTGTGTGTGTGGCTGAGGGGGGTCAGAGTGTTATCTCATCATTTAAAAACATATAGTGTTATACTCTGAGCTCCACCAGGAACGTGGGCTGGAGGGGGGGGGGTCATATGATCATTTAAAAACAGTCTTATGGCGCATCTGCACTACAGCGCGGTTTAAGCAAGCCGTGCCCGGCCCGTTTTTGGTTGCGTTTCCACGAGGTGTAGTTCCAGCTAGCGGGTACTGTTTCACTGTTTTTCTGGCTCTCCAAAATCAAGGTTCTTTCCGGGCCAACGACCGGGCTGAGTGCTAAACTAGTGAGAGTATCACTGGCAAGGGGGCTACATCAAGATGAACATATTTGACCGTGATTTAATTGTAATACACGTTTCAAAATGATGCCGAAGTAACAACATACTGATACTGGTTAGTAAAAACCATGAATTAATGCTTTGACAAGTCTGCAGACAGACAGCAGGAGAAACACCTTTTAAAATGCGTGTTTTCTGAATGGAGCTTGGCTAAGCTAACGCAGTATATGCTCTGACCGTCCACACTCAGAACAACGGCCTACAGACAGAAATAAAGCAGAGACTGTATTCTCCATGACACAGACAGTCTGTGGTTTGGACTTGTTTCACTTTTGTCTACTTTCTGAACAGATATGAGGAGCTGTGAGCTCTGAGGGCTAACAGCTAACGGCTGATGTTGGTTTTGTGTTTCTCATTGAAGATGACGTCACAGCTCCGCCTACACTGCGTTACTATAGTTACTGCCCCAGCTACTAAACTGTAATGGAAACGCAGCATAAAGTGAGCCTGGACTAACCCTACCGCACTAAGCCGTGCGAGGCCCTGCAATGGAAATGCGCCATAATACTCTGAGATCCACCGGGAACGTGGGCTGACGGGGGTCAGAGTATCACTAGTGTGCAATATATACACAGAGTGTGTGTGTGTGTGTGTTGGTCTCAGATGTTGTGGTTGTGTTTATCCATCACACTTCAGAGTGGTGCATGATTTCTCTTCATTGACCAACACACACACGTTTTTATTAAAGAGATATAAGAAACTACAGAGGCCTGTGAGGGTCAGGGGGAAGTCAAAGTGTGTGTGTGTGTGTGTGTGTTGTGACAATATATATAAATACACAGCTTTATAATGATCATTATGACTGGCTGCTATCTCTGAGTTAGAATATTCAACTGCTGTAACGCCGTCTGTAGTGAGTGTGAAATATACCCTTTCCCACCTGGCTGCTATCCCTCTTATTCTACCTATCAACACTTCCTGCTCTCCACCTGGACGGGTTCCTCTTCTAAAGTGTGTCATCTCTCTCTGAGATGTTAGGCATGTCTGAGCTGTCTCCATGGGCACTCTTTGAACATGGGCACCCTTTGAACATGGGCACCCTTTGAACATGGGCACCCTCTGAACATGGGCACCCTCTGAACATGGGCAGCTACCAGAGGGTGTCTTATGATAGATGGAAACACTAAACATGATGATGAAAGATAGAGTGAATCATCAGATGTCAGCTCCAGGGTCTGCATTGCCGTTAATCGAACGGTTCATTAATGAAGGTGCTGCATGGTTTCCTCTGAGGGTCTCCAGCAGCTGAAGGATGGATCTCTGCCCCCCCACCCCAACTCAGATATGTTCCTCCTGTTGTATCTCAGTAATGCTTTATCACTGCAAACGTCCCAGCATGCTCTCTGGTGCTCCTACACACACTTCCTCTGTTAAAGGAACACACACCGGGGGGAGTGTGTGTTTCTGCTGAAGTTTAAACTGTCGGCTTCATTCACACACATCTGCTCTCTGACGCTCAAACCCAGTCAGAGATGCATCTGAGAGGAGTTAGTGTCTGTGGGGACTCTACTGAGGACTGACTTTGAATACATTCATTCTGGATGAAAGCACAGGTAACACTCGTCTGGGTGGAAAGGGCTTTGGTAACGGCATGCTTTTCAATCATATTCAAGGAGGATGGTTGGGGGGGGGGGGCCTTCTCAGTTACTGCTCAGCTCATCACATTCACAACTAGTTTCAGAGATTCCAGATCCAGAGTCTGCAGCCTCACATCTGATGGGTGCAGCTCCGGGAAATGCAACGCTAGCGGAGTGTGTGAATGTGTGTCAGACACTCACCAGGTTCTCTACCGCCGCCTGCTCCAGAAACTTCTGCGCCGCCTCCAGTTCATTGCGATCTGATGGGGGAGAGAGAGAGTTACTGAGTGTAATGTTAGCTCTGATGCTAGCTCACAGATATGAGCAGGAACTAAGCTCCAGTGGAACAGGTTCAGCCGCTCCTCTGAAGCCCATGTTCTCCCGGCTCATTTCACCTAAGAGCCGCTGAAGCTGCCCCCCGCCCGTCAGCGAGGCTCCAGCGTGTGTTAGCCGTTAGCATGTAGCATTACGTGTGTTAGCTCCCCCGTTAGCATGTAGCACCGGGGACACGTTTAGTGCGACGGCGTAAAGTTTTCCGGACTCCCAACAAACCTGTTTTAAAGATCACTAACTCAGATCTCCCACATGGGGAGGGGGGATAAATGATATTAATATCACACCTCAGATGGATGATGCTACCCCCATGATTAGGGGAGTGTTCTCTATCCTCTCAGCGGCTCTCAGGTGAATTGAGCCGGGAAAACATGCGGAGGGGCGGCCGTTTGGTACAAGCTAACAGCTAACTTGTGGTGCGGCTACACCGGGCAGCTGTCAGACCCCCACCCCAAAGAGAGCTCCATCCACACGGGTATCTCATGACAGCATGTTGATAGCTCTACTGACGGACCCAGGAGGAGAGTTCCACAGATAAACTGTAACTAAATATATTATAATAGAGATTAAGAAGCCGGACAGGAGGCTATGAGGCCGGTTAGCATCACGAGCTAACAGTTAGCATTAGCTGTTAGCATCTCCTAACTTTCCCCGGAGATAACGGCTAACACCCGAGTTTTAAAGCTTCTTGTTGCAGTTTGACAGCGGAACTCTCATTCAAAACGGAGTTGTAAACACGCTGTCATTATAATAATATATATGAAAATACTGTAACCGTGTGGATGGATCTCTAGAAGATCTGATCTAAACTCGTTAGCTGTTAGCTTGTATCAAACGGCCGCTCCTTCGCATGTTTCCCGGCTGTTAGCATCATGAGATGACTGTTAGCATCACGAGCTAACTGTTAGCATCTCCTCCTAACTCTCCCCTGATGTGACGGAGCTAACTGCTACCACCACAGAAACACTCCCAAAATCACCCCGGATATCATGCACCAGACCCCGGGTAGACTGCGGGTGATTCTGCGGTTCTTTGACCCACCTGGAGAGACGGTCTTCTCGAGGATCGTGATGAGCTCCATGCTCCCGGATCTCTCTTCGCGCTCTCAGCCCGGATTACTTTCTCTCCTCAGCGCCGCGCTTCCGGCGGGGGTCGGTCGGTGATAGAGAAGAGGCGGGAGTGTTCCCCCGGTGCTCGCTCGGTGTTTGTGTCTCTCTGAAGGCGCCGTGAAGCACCGTCACCGCGAGGAAGAAGCTTCGTCACCGTGAGGAAGACGCTTCGTCACCGCGAGGAAGAAGCACCGCCGCCCGTTTACCTCCTGTGTGTCGGGAGGGAAAGAAGGGCCGCGGAGGGATATCACGTCTGACGGGACGGTGTGCGGCCTTCAGGGACCGTGGGAAGAGTTAACACAGCGCAGGGGGGATTATTACAATTAATGTATTATTTAACTGAATTAAACACCTTAATTAACTCTATTGTTTACTTACTCAACAAATAATATATATTTTATTTAATATTTAATTAGAATACTGTTATTATAGAAAGATAGCAGTGAAATCAAACTGGAAACACTGTTTATTCTGGAAAATCTTAACATGGCAAAAGAGTAAAAAAGGCTGTGACTATTTTATATATATTACATTATTACTCATGCTGAGAACCAGAGACAACCAGAGAGACAAACAGAGAACCAGAGAGAGAGAACCAGAGAGACAGAGAATCTGTACGGAAACAATTCTTCCCAAAACTCAAACATAAGCATCCTCAAATATTTAAAAATGAAAATGAAAAACTAAAAATACTTATCGGGGAATATAAAGAGAGCTGCATTGTGTCAGGACAGTTTTTCTCTGCCTGCCACAGTCTGAGGGAACCGGAATGAGCAGATACACCAGGTCTCACATCTTATATATCTTAAGTATATATATCATATTCTATTTTGTATTCATGTATTATATGAATGAAATGAATCTGTATTCCTTGTTAAAAAAAAAAAAACATGTTCTTGTTCAGTTTGTTTATAACTGTTTATCTGTTTATTTGTGTGTATTTTTGTATAGATGTTACAACTATACATAGCTTTGGCAATACTGTATGTAAATATGGTCATGCTAATAAAGCTTTTGAATTGAATTGAATTGAATTGAGAACCAGAGACAGAACCAGAGAGACAGACAGGGAACCAGAGAGACACAGACAGAGAAACAGAGAGAGAGAGACAGAGAACCAGAGAGAGAACCAGAGAGAGAACTCATGCTGATTGTAACCTGATTTCACTGTTAATGTCATTTTCAACAAAAAAACACTGATTTATTTGTAGGAATCTGCTGAGTATCCTCTCCATGTATCCATACAACATGCAGTACAACATGCAGCTGGTAGTTTTATTATAATTATAATGATTTAATCTGAACCCACAAACACTCAGATTTTAAATGTCTTTTAAAAAAAAGTCATGAAAGTTTGAAAGGACGAACAGGCTGAAAAGAAACCGTAGCTGCAGTTTACGAGGAGCACATGAACGCAATACTACACTCCTCTTCCGCGCGCTCCCTTGAGCTCTTCTTTGGCTATAACACGCACGCGCGCACGTGCTTCCGCCTCTACTCAGGCTTTTGTTTTTCTGCCAAAATCTTTGTTTTGAATCCAGTTTTCTGCAAACAGAAAGCGACTCAAAGCTGCATCCTGGTCAAATTAAAGTATAATGTTTGTGTCTTTGACATTAGCGCTGCTATGCAGCCACCAGTAAACTGTACTACGAAG